CCTGGGATGTAGGTTCTTTCACCTGCCCCAGTCGGGGCGCCTGTGGAGGGCAACCAATCGATGTGTGTCTCTCACAAAGTTACTTAATTCTTGGAAATAACACTTAGGTTAGTTTAGACCTTATATCCCAAAATAGTTAATATTGCAGTTGTTTTGTAATCTGTTTATAGATTTACTTTAGAAATGATTTTGTTTACTTGTGCCAACAGAATACCCACTTCATGCCTTTCAAACATATTTCAAGTTATACCAACATATTCACAAAAATTCATTTTGGTATCTACTTGAAAGATTATTTTCCCTTTCTGTTTCTCATTACTGTAAAGTTAAATCCTTTTGTTGCTAATTGAAAATGACTTATAGTCATTTATCCACTTAAGAGGTAAAAAGGGGAACTGGAGATAGTTTACTTAATGAGCCTGTCTTGTTCTTTATGAAAATATCATTCTAACTTTTTTTTTACTCAAATGACTCTAAATACACATTTCATAAAAATTATTTTGCACCCTACATTATTTACTTTATTAAAACAATATAAAGTGTTAGGCTAAATGGAAACTCAAGGTCACTAAACCTCTTAAGATCCTCTGATTTTTTTCAATCTATTTTCATTTTATTTTTCAGAAACATTCCCACAGATCTGGCATTCCAGAACAGAACATTTTAAGCATGCTGAAACTTCAGATCGCAAATTTTAAAAATTATTTTGAAATGATTAAAATACCAAAGGGAAACTAATTCATTGGTGTTTTTTTAATTTTTAAAATTGATTTTAGAGAGGAAGGGAGAGGGATAGAGAGAAACACTGATGAGAGAAAAACATCCATGAGCTGCCTCCTGCAGGCCTCCTACTGGGGATCAAAAGCTCCCCAACAACCTGGGAATGCCTGTCGAAATTCTAACAGAGCTTCTGTTCCGTGGGTTGACACTCAACCACTGATCGACACCTGGTCAGGCTAATTCACTGTTTTAAGTCACTATATGTAGTCAGTATTCTATTAACCAGGGTAAGTGAACCTGTCCAGATTTTTCTTTAATATTAATGTTTGGTATACTTATGTTACACTCTATAAATCCTGGATTCTCCTGAGTCTCTTTGGAAATATACATCCCATTGATAAATGCTTAAGTCACAATACTCAAGAGCTAGTGTTATTGTGAATTAACTGGTGTTAATTCCAGGTGACTGGAATTTAGCATGACAGCATCATTAAATACTTTAATATAACCTATGTTCCCTATATTACACACCTTGATGGATGGCAAAAATACCATCACTTGTATGTGGGTAAGTGAATATAGAGAAAACAGCCACTGTGGCTTTGACAAGAGCAAGAATTACTTCATAATGTGACAGTTGGAATACAGGTTGTGTTCCTAATAGATATGTTTTTTAAGAGGTTTCATACTACTGCTTTTAAATGAATTCATACTTCTGAAAGGTAAAAACCAATTTTGCATGCTTAAATGCTTACAAACTAAACATGAGCAAGATTATACAAGAGGATTTTTTTTCAATAAAGAGAAAGAAGGTAACTACATTAGTTTTGGTTTTGCAAAGTGAGACCTTAAAGTAGTAAAGAAAAATCTAAATCTGATCCCAGAGATCACTTTAACAATTGCTCATGAAAATAATTTTTTAAATTTTAGAAAGCATATTAGGCCTATATTCATATTTTGATCTCCATTCCTTTGTTCAGCACTGTGATAATTTCAGAAGCTGTAGAAAAATTAAATACATAATTTAAGGAGCTCAAAGTTTTAAAAATTAGTCATGTGACAATAGTAATGATGGGAATAGACTATAAATATAGAACTTAAAACATGTTTTACTATGTTGCACAAGTTCATTTGCAAAGTGTTAGGGTTAACATGGTTTTGGTTGGTTTGCTCAATATTTGTATGCTCATTTTATACTGTATTCTGCAACTCAAAAGACAGGGCATCACACTGCTGGATGACTAGTACATACATACACATTAATGTTAATACTTTACTTTTGTATTGGGCTTTATAATAGAGATTTCCCCCCAACTTTCTCTATGAAGTAGGTAGCAAGTTCTAATCTTCCCCATTATGAGTTAAGAAATGTATGTTTACACATATGAAATAAATATTTATAAGTTTTATTTGGATCACAATATCCAAATGGAACACTTTAAGATGAGAATATGTGACCCCAATGAGAAGCAGCAAAGGTGGGCCTACACTGTTTGAAGAGATCCTAGTCCCTGACTAATAGAAGCACTAATCTCTTAGCTTGTTAAATATAAAAATGACAACAGCCAACACAGCTGTCCAGTGTGAGTGAATAAAAATTACACATTTTTTTGTCAAATCAAAAAATACATTTTTGGTGTGCTGCAGAACTTTAGTTACTGGTTTGTATATACCATACATTGGGATATGTATATTTAAACATTTAAAAATTCATACATAAATTTATCAGTTTGAAGGAAGATAAGATCCAGAGAAGAGTACCTGGTACTGTAGTGGGCAGTTAGACATGAGCAGAGTATAGGTCCCTAGGGTGGAAAGCCCTGGGTGCCTAGCAAAGGACAATTGTAGGGTGGGACCTTGTCCCCAGGTGGCCTTTCCTCCTCTAGTGATGACCGGAAAGGTGAGCCGAGGTGTTTTCCTGGGGTCGTGTCTCAGGACGTCGAAGAATGAGCTACAGGGACCAGAAGATTTAAGCAAAAGTGGGAAATTTATGACAAGCAGATTTAGACTTCCCACAAGAGGAGGGGGACCCAAGAATGGGCTGCCGGTTAAAGCCTTATGGTCCAGGGGTACATTTGCTACAAGCCTGCTTCTGTTATCTGTGTCGTCGCCTGATAGATTCCCTCAATTGTTTTTGCCCAGCAATGGGCCTAAACTTTCCCTGTTTCTATGTGTTCTCTGTTCCTATGCTGAACTTTTTCTGTTTCTATGTGTTTGTACATATTGTTGCTAAAGGCCCTCCTTTGTTTTCCCATGCCTCCCGCTTTGAGTCCAGAAACATTTTATTATTTCTGCTTGGTTGTTCCTGTGGTTAGGCTGCTCAAACCGCCATGTCTGCCCCTGCCTATGTTCCACTGGACCCCTGCCCTGTCTGCCTGCATTTTAAGTTAACCCTTTCACTAGTCTATTAGTGGTCTTGTGGTTTGGACCCCCTGACCTTTCCTCCCTAGAGATAACATCTAGACCTCAGTTGTATTTTAGCTCCAGGCCCAAAAAAGCAGCAAAACCAGAGGAGCAAAGCCATGGCTGGCTTCAGGACCAGCTCCATTGAAAAATGACCCCCTGCCCTGGCACCAACCAACCAATCAGTGGGGACAGGACCCTGAAAGGACAGACCAGGAAAGCTGCTGAAGATTCTATTGAGATCCCCTGGGACCTCCCCTAAATCTCCTTAAAACCCTGAGAACAGGGGACCCAGAGGGCTCTCCCTCCCAGGAGCACTCCTTTGCTTCCCCCTGCCCCCTGCATCACCTTTACCTTCCTCACTTCTAAGCTCCAAGGGCCCTTCCCTTACCTCTATATCTTGTTTCCTAAGCCTATCTTGTACGAATTACTTCTTCCACCTCCATGATTTTATAAATGTTCTCTTATAGTTTGAGTCTTTAATATCAGTTTTGCTATGTTGATGAAAGGAGCCCCATGCTAACCTGACAAACTCAAGGAAGGCCTGCATGGTATTTATAATTGCAGATGACCCAAATGAGACCTAAAGTAACTACAAAGGATGGTCTGAAATTAAACTTTAACTAAAAGCAGTTATGGTGGGTAGTTATGTCTTAGGCCGCTATCTTCACTGACAAGGTCAACCTTTACCTTAACTGAGCCTATCTGTCTTTTTGCATCTATAATAACATACCCTTGAAATGTCTGGGTAACTTCTAACTTCCCTTTTTTCCAGACACCTCAGGCCACAATCAGATGCCCTGGGAGCCAGGACAGGAGACCATAAATTCCTTCATTGTTATTGTTATGTTAATCGTTGACTGTTAACTATCTCATTCTAGAGTTTTCCCTGCTTTGCTTTCTCCAGCCTCTCTGAACATCAGTGGGTTTCATGTAACCCACCTATGCCACCCCCCACTTTGTAATGTATTAAAAAAGACGAAAAACAGCCATTCTCTGGAGCATTATCCCAATACTTGAGATTTGCTCCCTGGGAGTTGTTGACATTTTGGCTCAAATAAACTCACAAAAATTATTTACAGGTCTGAATGTGTTTACGTTAATAGCTACGTATTAGAAAAGATAAAATGAAGGAAACTCAGTTTGCAGGTGGGGTTAAAAATTCTAACTGGAACAGATGAGCCAGTTCAATGTCTATACCACAGACTGGATGAACTGTCTGGGGCCTAAGCGGTGCTGATTAAAGCAGGATCGGTCAGAAACACGGCTTTCTCCAAGCGGCATTTCTGCCACGTGTTGGCTCTGGCACAACACTGAGTCCATCTCTAGGGAAGCAATCAGGATGCACAGAGAGAGATGGGGACCACCCCGTGGCCGCAAACTACACCCTCCCCACACCCCACCCCCAGCTTCATCCATTAAAATGACACAATTCGATTAGGTTAAAAAAAAAGAAGAATGAAAAGGCACACGGTCAAGACTGACTTTAGAAAGGCCCCGCCCCTGCCTCTGCAGTTCCGGTCCAGCCTCTGAGCAGGTCCACGCCGGCAGCGGGAAAGTTTCCTGCGCGCGCAGTAGGCCTGCCCAGTGCCGCGTGGGAAAGGCGGGACTTCCGTATCCTTTACGTCATCTCCCCTGCGACGCGAACGTCACTGACTTGACCGGGAAGGTCAACCGTGGCCGAGGGCGGGCGCGCGCCCC